GACACCCTTAATATCTATATGTTTTATACTTTGATAGCAATTTCACTGTTGTGCTTCCTGGCATAAGTTGAAAACCCTAAAAGAAAGATACTATAAGCAATCTAATCCCCGAAAAATTTAGAACATTATTCGGAAATCCGAAGTTAATTAATAGAAAATTAGTTCTTTCTTTTAATATTCGAGTTAGGTTTTTGGCCCGATTACATTACAGTATGTAAAATTGTTGGACTTGTAACGAACAGACTTTAATCTGATAATTATTTTACATTAGAGAACTAGTTTGAACCCTAATCTGATACGAGTTCTTTGAAAATTACGTTGTTCGAAAAAATTTAGGACCTCGGTTTTGGACCTGGGTTTCATGTAAATTAGGCCCAATACTGACTTCAGAATTCATCAAGCCCAAAAAGGAAAATCTAAAGTTGACATCAACTCAGCCCATTAACATTAACATGCCCAACAAACTAAGCCCATTTGGTATTCAAGAAATCAATATACGCACGTACAAAAAAATGCATACCCTAAAAACATATAATAGAAAATATATTAACATATATATATATATATATATTATATCCACACATTTCACTGAGATCATCATGACACAGATCCTGAAGTTTTGCAGTCAATTATATATGTATAATATTATGTGACCGAGTGATGGCCAGCTCCGGCCATTGGCGTGGCCAAACAGTGTATACACGAGAAACAAAGTCAATGGCTGCAACTTCAACAGTACCACAATATATACATACATACATATATATATATATAGATGTATGTGTATGTGTGTGTTCTTGTGTTTTCCCATTTTTTTAAAAGATTGTATATGAATATTCTTATTAGATATTCATTTTTATTTTAAGTGTACGGATCACGAGATCGTTATCTTTGATCTTCACTGATCAACTTGTCTGCACCTAAAGTACATGATCAAATTCTTGAATATTTTTCTAACATTTTTTTGACTTAGATCATAGCCGAAAATCTTGAGAGATATACAGGCACATATATATATATATATAGCAGAGATATATAATATATAATATAAAAGTTGTTAGTTACTAAATTATAATGTAAGATCAGAGGAGAGAGCAATCCAATAATTTAGAAAATATAAGCAGAGATTTGGTGCAATTGAAATTTGAAACCATGCAAATCCCACGAGGGACATGAGGGGGAGTGGGTGCAGGAGACGTGGGATTGCCAGAAACCTCCCACGTCCCAACAGTCAACTTCAGTTCAGACATACATACATACATACATACATACATACATACATACATACATACATACATACATACACACACACACACACACACTCGTATACATTACATATACTATATATAAAATTGCATCTCTAGTAAGCAGCTACAGTTCATGTGCCTTTAATTGTTTATCTGCACTGCATGGTCCAATGCTGCAGATACATAATATCTGTGTCCTAGGCTGGACCAATAAAAACACACACACACACACATACATATATATATATATATAACCTCTGGACCAACACATGCATATCTATATGATAGACCAATACAAACACACCCCCGAAACATATACATATAAATAGCTTTGGACCAACACATTTCCACTTGTACATTTACCTTTTAGAACATAATGGACGGGATAAGGACGCAAGTACTTACACACACGCATATATATATATATATGTATTACAATATTCTTTTAATGACTTAGAACCATAATTGCATGCTGCAAGAAGAGGAGACACAGAGGGTAATTATCATTTGCCACTTAATTATTAATTAGTACATTAAAGCAGCTTGATTAACTTCTATCGTTACTACAATTAAATAATTGCTAATAATTCAAGAATTCATGGGCATTCATCAGATAACTACACTCTTACACACACACACATACATACTGACATACATGTATGTATACACATATACATATAGCTCCGCCTGTGAGGAGGAAATACATGCTGCCTTGCATGTGATGCTGCAGGATATATAAATTATTAGAATTTGATTTATTAAAAAATGTAAGTTATCAAGTTACTTCATCCACTGCGAAATTTAATTATTATATAAATTTTCATATTATATTATATATATATATATATAATTTTTTTATTTATTAAAAAAAAAAGAAAGTAATATACGTTTCGGAAGTGCTGCCAATTGCACGGGCTTAATTTTTATTAAATTTACATTTTCCTTTTAATAAATATATGCATGCAAAATTATTTCCAACATCCAATGCATGCATCGTGTGAATTAAAAATTTCTTAATTAATTTATCGAAAAACCTTTGTAGTTATCCATAATATTAATTATTAAAGTAAAATAATATGGTTAGATTTACATATATAATATTATATCATAGAAAAAATAATATAAAATCAATTCATAAGACCCAGTATAATTCACCTAATGTATTGTTTATTTATTATTGCTATTATAGTTTAGATTCTTAGAATACATACATATATATATATATATATATAACACCAAATAATTACATGCATTGTCAAACTTGAAGATTTAAAGGTGATAAAGATTAAACTGGCGTGATTAGCGTGATGCCTTCTAGATTTACATATAAACATGTGCATATATATATATATATATATTATTGTACCTTCTTAATTAATTAGATTTGGGTTTTATAGGTATATAATGTACATTCTTGAAAAAGATCAATTTAATAGTGTATAAATAAGTAATTAAATTATTTTTAATCAATTAAGTCCTTTTATTGTTAGAATTAAGTAAGCTTTTAAGATAATCAGCAAGCCAAAAAAAAAAAAACAAAATTATTACCCAAAACAGCATCTAGGATTTAAACTCAAAAATAAGTATCATATTATCATTTTAGTATAATATAATATATATTACTTATATATTTTTTAAATTATTTAATAATTTCTTTATTTTTTTACAAAAAAAAAACTAATTTAATTTGGATCTATAAGAGAATGGGTGTGGTCGGTGTGAATTTTTCTTTATTTATTTTTTTTTGTAAAAATGAGAGAATGCAAGAGAATGCCTAAACAATATATATTCTAAGTTAAGAAACACTAACGATGTTGTCTTTCGCGAGCTAAGCCAGATCGGCGAAAGCATGATAGTGGAAGTGGAGCCTAACGAGGCAGAGAAGCCGTGGTTGGCCATAAAATTAGTGCATTGGCTTTTCTCCTTGTAAACATGTTGAATTTGGACCGTTTAACTCCTAATTAAACAGATTCTTATAGTTTTGATAAGATTGAAACAATCATTAATTTTAATCAGCTTGCGGCGGATAATCCTGTACTAAATTTCTTGGCTCTTCTACGTTAAATAAGAGTCAAAATTAAAATTTTAAAATTGAACGACATCATATAGTTATTGGACGAAAACTCATTCAGTATACCCTTCTCTTACAACTAAAAATTATATTGTATTGTAATCTTTAACACCCACAAATTTTCAAGAAAATACATAACACGTATCGATTATTGCCTCTTAGCACTTAAAAATTACTTAAGAAAATGTAATAGATTGTTCACATACAAACATTAATGCATTTCGACCTTCAAACTATTGCAAGATTAACGAGAGTAATTAAAAGGCAAAAGTAATGATATGATCTCTCTAGTACTAATTTTTGTTCATACTAAATTTAAAATCGTTAAATTTAATGTTATGTGTCAAATTTAATGACAAATGATACATTTTATTTGATCCATGTGTAAGTGGATATTACTTTAAAGTTGACTCGTTCAAATCTTCGCTAATCATTATTTTTTGTGGTAATTAAAACTATTGCAAGTTTTCTTTTGGCTACTCCATTTACTCACTAAGAAAGATTACAGTATTAATGCGCATGCGGTTCTCGTTTGTGCGATCAAACACTCGGTACTACAGAATCAGCACGTCCGAATTCAACATATCTATCGCGAAGAGAATAAATGTGCTTACTGGTTGACGAATACTGACTTCTCTCTACCGATGGGTCTTCATTCTCATATTTAAATGTCGAATGATCTCCAACAACTCTTCACTAACGATATTATGGGTGTTTCTTGATCCGTTATATATTTAACAATCTCTTGATTTTTCTTTTTTTTTAATTTTTGCATCTACTTGTACTAAAATATATATATATATATTGCAAGTTGTTAATTTCATAAGATAATTAAAATTAAACACAATTGTTATTTAATATTATCTTTGAAGTTAAAAGATATATACATGTGTGTGTGTGTGTGTGTGTGTGTGTGTGTGTGTATAGCTAGTTGACATACAATGAGAAAGCATGCCGATGGGATACTTTTTCTAGAGCAGTGCACCCATCCTTTTATTTTAATCCACTGTTTCATTATCGTTTCCGAAAAAGAACAGGAAACAAACATGGAGTCCTACCAGTTGAATTAATTTCACTAATTAATTAATTACTTTGTCTTCTTTAACTTATACATATTCACGTGAGAATACTATTTAAAGTAATTTTCACATCAACTTCACACACGATAATACAAGAGAAAAATATGTGGACACAGATTTAACTCAGCTCCGCCATTAACGTCATAGGAATATTTGTTCAGTAATTAATTTAATCTTTATAGTCTAAAAAAATTAAACATTTATTAAAAAGGGTTGAATAATTCAAATCATAAATGCGAAATTTAAGTACCCACATAAATTTTTAGTTTAAATAAATACTTAATTTAATATAATAGTTGGTATATATTTTTTATTAAAAAAAATTAAAATTAAATTGTAACAAGTATTAAATATTAAAAAGTAATTTAATAATTTATTTTTTTATTAATGATATATGTTTAACTCATAATATACACTACTTTAATAAGCTTTGGTAATCACATACTTATA